AACACAATGCCGCCACAACCATATTATGGCGGCACCTTGCATTTGTATGCTTTCGGGGTATGTAATTTTAGTTCTACTTCGAGTCTCAGAAGTCAGACATGTGGAATGTGTTTCTCACTCGTTTCGATAAGTGATTGGCTAATCCACATCGTCAATCAAAAAATGCAAAAATGTATCGGAGAAATGAGATTGACCCTCACAACACATGCATGGCCATGACCGTCTTATAAACATTCACACCTCTTCTACGTACAGGTGCACGTTTCGAGCTGGCTACTTCATTCGTGACAACAACCTCTTCCTCGTTGGTCTGCGACATCTCAGAATCATCCCAGACACTACCAACAGTACATGTCGTACGCCGTGGCTAAGAGAACAGCACCATGGAAGAAGCCTGTTGGGGACGCAGTGAGACTGCCCCGATAGCTAGCCACCCAGAGTTGGGTGAACTTTTACCTCAACAGAGGGTTAGAACGGGGTCCTGTGCATCTCCATAACTTTATGTATTTCATTAATAAAGTCAGTGTGAATAATTCCATGTACCTTTGCTATCGAATCCTTCTGGTGGTTTGCTCTAAAGTGAGTTAGGTTTCACAGTGTCGTAACTGCGTGGGGTGTCACGAGACCCAACAATACTTACAAACGCGTTTTGCCGTTCTACAGCCAATAGAAACCATCTTCTCTCGCCTGCTCCTGAGAGATTCGCTGAGTTAACGAGTGAGAGGTATGCCGACTGTGACTCCTCACCGTCAAAATCACATTCATGTACTGGCGCCAATTCATCCAGAAATTCATCCTCAGGTTTAATGTTCACATTGTTTACTTTGCCTCGGTCCAACTGCTTCCCACTCAGTGCCCACTCCAACTACTACTGTAACACAGGCAGGCCTCTAACCGAATTAGTAAGTGAGTGAGTTAAAATTTAACGTTGCTTCGGCATTGCGCAGCCATATAGCGACGGAACCAAGTTTACACATGTGCACAATTCTATAATTACGCAAAGTTACATTCCAAATAGAAGCGAAAAAACCATTTCCACATTCATAAGAAATTTCTGTAAAAAGCAGAGTCGATTGTACAGTTATGACTATATCGTGAGCAGATATTTGTTTCAGCAGTGCTACAGCTGTATGATGTTGTTTGTAAACAAATCGGGGCGTGCACATCCTCTAAATTGTAAACAGATAATATTGTGATGTCCGATGCAATTCCCTATTTTGACTTATACCATACGTTCCCGAATTATTTCAGGTGAACAATTGACTAGACTTCGCATATGTTTATGACGGGTGCCACCGATGAGGCAGGATACGCTCACCTTTTTGCGAACACCTGGTATCATCACTATTTCATAGTGATTCATAAACACATGCTCTGCCATCGTATCACATGGTGACAAGCACTGGATTCTCTGGTTCAGACTCGATTTGTTTACAAACAACATCATACAGCTGTCATACAGCTGAAACAAACATATGCTCATGATATAGTCACAATTGTACAATCGACTCTGCTTTTACAACAAGGAGAGTTCTATGGATGTACAGCTCCTTTAATATAATATGAGCAACGTTTCGGGGTAGCACCGTTATCAAGCAAGTGATATACAATAATGAAGGCTCGGTTACATATATATAGGAAAGTTTGAACAGTGAATGATAGATGTTAGCACAATTAATGAGGTTGATGTACAAGGTTGGAGGATGTTCACCGGGGGTGCAATATCCTTGATCTCTGTTCATGGCCGGTTGGAGTCCCTTGATGTGAATGGCTTCTAGTAGTCTTCTGATCTTGTAGTGGGTTTGATTACTGGCGAGTACATCGATGCTGTTCCAAAGGATGTTGTGGTCTGGATAAGCTTGGGTGTGGTCAGAGATGGCGCATTTGGAGTCTTTCTTCTTCACACAGGTTTGGTGTTCTTTGATTCTTACATCACACTTTATGTGGTAAACTGTGCCTGAAGGGTCTTCAGTAGTTGTGGGGGTTGGTCTGCCATTTGCTTTTAGAATGTCCTGTGTAGTTCTGCCTTTCTACTTTTGGCAGAAATTTCGTATCAATGTGGAAAGGGTTTTGTGAATGTAGGTGCCACGGATACGACCAAACTACAAGAATGGCAAGGACACCATGCTAGGTTTGAGTGCGAAGTGACTTGCCAGAAGCAGCAAAGAAACTCTTCCATTTCACTGTTCAAGAAAGTCGATTTCATTAAAGAGTTGCTCTTCTCAATACACTGCACACAAACCCGATGCGTCATACGTCAACGTGCCTGACGGCAGACTGTCGAATCAATACATTCCCTCTGTGCAAGATAGACTGAGAGTTTAAAAGAAAGTAAGGTGTACTCTTGACAATGGTATTGGCCCTAAAATAACCACCTAAAATAACATCAAAACATTATTGGGCAGCATGCAGTCGCCGAAACACTGAACGCATTACTTCTTCAAACATGTCCATCATTACATCAATCAAACTGAACGATTCCATTGTTCATCCTAATCTGTTATATTCTCAAACTCAAGATCTCTCATGCATATGTTCTCTGCTTCTCATGTAAATATTGGGAGAGGGCGTCATTAAGTTGGATAACTTGTGCCCAGTCCTTTTCTTCAATTCATAAAATATGTTTAAATCAACATATATAATATATTGTTACAATTGGACACATGCACATTGCATTTGCAAACTGCACCATGATCACTTCAGCGTTCAATCCCTCGACTTCGTATTCAGCCTGAGGAGAGACACTTTATGGTGCACGATATTATTGCCATGATCGTTTGAATCCTTCCACAGTTGGTCTGTCTCCCAAATGCCGCTAGATGCTGTCTCCCAGATGCTGAACGTTATCCTTGACACATCCCTGAATCCCGATGGAATATGACTACAAGTGACAGAGTGAATTTAGTTTTACGCCGATTTTAGCAATATTCCAGCAATATCACGGCGGGGGACACCAAAATGGGCTTCACACATTGTACCCATGTGGAATCGAACTCGGGTCTTTGGCGTGAGGAGCGAACGTTTCAATCACTAGGTACGCCACCGCCCTAATAAGACTACTAAGATACACACTGGGGCTTTCCCGGAAGTGCAGTACTACACCAAATCAGATTCCGTAGTTTAGCAAGAACGTTTTTTTTGCCCTCAGTGCAAACTGAACTATCTGACAGCTGTGATTGGGTGAGTTTGTGTAAGATGGTTGTGCTTCTTAAATGTACATCCATCCAGTAATTTAAACTGACCATATTTTGCAACAGCTAGTGCTATTATCAAGCGGGTGATATTTTGTGGGTTGGTCTGTTTAGCTTAATGTGCTTGGAAAAGGAATTGGTTGAGGTATTTAGTGTGCTTTTATTTTTGCTTTATGGCTTTAATGGACACTCGTACATGTAATAGTTGTTGACGCCTTTCTTAAATTCAAAGTTACTATAGAAGTCAAAGGGAAAATATTTGGCCTTGTGTATTCTAAAGCGCCAACACACAGGCCGTATAGGGTGCCTATCAGCCAGGATAGGAATCCTTTGCCCACATAAGTCTGGTGTTGAGCAGACAACACGATGGCGTGTACGTCTTTTTGTTATTATCCTTACTCCTTTCGCCTATCACATCTGAAATAATCTATAGCCCTCAATTATCTAGATGTCTTTTGAGACAAGTGAGTGGGTGAGTGAGTGAGTTTAATTTTACGCTGCACTCCGCAATATTCCAGCTATATGGCGCAGTCTGTAAATAATTGAGTCTGGATCAGACAATACAGTGATCAACAGCATGAGCGTTGGTCTGCGCAATTGGGATACGATGACATGTGTCAACCAAGCCAGCAAACCTGACCACCCGATCATTCTCACCCGCATCTTCACGGGTCCCGCTCAAACAACATTTGTATAGTCCACATGTATAATGCACACGTAACGCTTTTTTTGTTTATGTCTAAACAGATGTCAGGGATTCATTGTTGATTATAATTGAAGTTACCACTTTCTTGGTGTATGGCCATCTTGAATGTTCCGTGTAATGTTTTTATTTTTCATGGTAGATACCCCGGAATTATTCGATTACGACGGGGTTAAGAGGTCAGATCTACCCCGTATCGTTCCTATCTCTAACAGCTATATCTTTTGGAATATGTATGTTTATATAGTCCATGCTTTTGGAATTAGCGTCAAAACGAAGAGTGAGTGAGTTTTGTTTTTCAGCCGCACTCATCAATATTCCAGCTATATGGCGGTAAATACTCGAGTCTGGACAGGAAAATCCAGTGATCAACAGCATGAACATCGATTTACCCAATTCTAACCCGGATCGTCACCGGTTCGTAGCTATGACAGCTTCAGGTATGATATGATAGAGTATTACCATATCTGAACGTTAATATAAAACCATGGATAATCGAGAATGATAAATAACATACCAAAAAATCAAATTAACACATGAACATAAAGAAACGATTTCTTGTCTCGAACGATATCCCAGCAATGTCGCGGCGGTGGACACCAACATGGGCTTCATGGATTGTACACATGTGGGGAATCGAAGCCGGGTCTCGGCGCGACGAGCGAGCGCTGTAACCACTCGGCTACCCCGACGCCCCCTGCTTCGAACGAACCCAGTATATTACACGTGTGTACTGACGGTCAATAACACCTCATCTGCAAGGACATCCACAAAGCGGTAAGGCCTTATCACGATGACTCGCCAGTTTGCTTGCTGACAAAGGGGGCAGCTATGACCACAATCTCTAAACAGGCAAGAGTTTTTGTCGGGTCAAGTGCTTGATTTATCAGATGAATTCCTTTGATACAGAGCTTTTGTCTGAAAAAATAAAGATATGCTGTCTCATGGCCCACCATTCCTTATTGACATGATATAAACATACATTATGTTACGTCAATCACCCGGAAAGACAACACTTCTTCACAGAGATATCCTTGACGCTAACATGTGTGGATTCCACTGTAGCAATACTTGTCAATGTAGGGTGATTGTATATCACAAGGTCAGTGGAGTAGTATGTAGGGTATATATACTGGCTCACCATTGCAATCCGGCATCACCAAACCACCATGGCGTCTGTACCCGCCCTGCTGGCTCTGCTGTTGACGGCCACGTCATGTAAGTATTGTCAGATATTCTGTGATATATCCTAAAGTATTATATCAGCTGTTTCTTGATTACATGACTGAGTTGGATTGCAAATGTTTTAAGATTCTAATGCCGTTGTCAAGCAAGTGACATTAGAATCTATGTCGAAACGTCGCCTGTACAGAATAAAGAAGTTGTATGTCCATAAAAAATGTCCTCAATCTTCAAGTTTCAACTTCTGGAATGCCAATCAAAGAAGTGCAATTGTTATACATTGTTCTAAGATGCCTAGCGGCTAGAACAATCGAAAAAAAAACAACATTATCAGACAAAAAAGGTATAGTTTTTTGATGACGTAACAATTGAAGGACGTATCTCGTCACTGCGCTATTCTAGTGTGCCCCCTCGTAATCGAACCATTTTACATTACGTCACAATGTAAGCGACGTCACGATGCATGTCAGTTGTCATCGCCTCGTACAGCCTCCTACAGTAAACTACCCCGTTGCATCCCGTTTCTTGGTTTGCAGTTGCTTCACTCACCTAACATCACTGGTGGAAACATTACGTGTATGTTTTCTGACGTTTAAAATGTCTCAATTCGACTCACAAGTTTTCAGCGACACGGTAACGTTCGCAATGTTTACATTCCCTCAATGCAATCGTGGAATGTCGCTCCACTTCTCAGCTTCGTCTGGATGTACTGATCTAAACATACGTTGGTAGTAGAAATGCGACGTTCACATGGTTTACGTTAATCACAGATGTAATTAAAATAATTTAGAGAAGATATTTAATCCGAACGTAAACCGTCATCAAACTGTTTATCATTTGTTTTTCTGGTAACGTTCGTCTTAACGTAGGGGGGCAGACACATCAATAGAACAGCGCGCCAGTTAGCCCTGTGCGAGGATTCTTAATTTAGGTCACCGACACCGTCGTTTGTTTTCTGCCTTAAATTAATCGTAATTATCCTTAGAAAGTATTAAATTTGGCATCTTAGAAAGAAAATACAGTTCGCTCTACCACCATGTATATAGTGTAATAAAACACACTTTTTCGCCCTGAACTATTATGACGTTAAAGCACTCGGACGCAAGCGTCCTCGTGCTTTAACTATAATAGTTCAGGGCAAAAGTGTGTTTTATTACACTATACATGGTGGTAGAGCGAACTGTATTTCTTAAATATTACGGCGTAACTTATGAGGAATCGTCCCAGATGTTTTGCTTTGATGAAAGTTGTAACCATCGGTATGGTTTTGACCAACGCAGGTCATTCCTAGTGAGGATCTGAGATTGGGAACTACTCTCAATACAACTACAGAGTTATATGGAACAATATCATGGGGATTTGCTCGTCCATGATGAGTTTATCTGTCATTTAAGTATATGATGTATATCAACCTTTTCATTATAATGTGACATTAGCATTATATTGTTCGGGATAGGTTGTATATTCCCATTCATTGGATATTCTATTTCACGAGTACTTGACAGAAAACTAAAGAAAGGAGAGAAACGTCATCACATTGAAATTGAATGCATAAAAATGATTTTGTATGATTTAAAAAATATCGGTTCGTTTGCAGTAGGTGTTGTGAAAGTGTTGTGTAACTGCGGTTTCCAACGCGATAGATAACCCCAGAGTCTTACTAAATGATGTAAGGGGGCTGGACATATGACTAGGAGACTTACTTGTGATGTAAATTTATCGAATAATCGACTACAGTTTTAAATGTTTTTCTTGTATTGTCTGCGATGGAATGTTCCAGTAGCCTTTCAGCAATCGGCACACAGTGAAAACACGAGTCTGCTGTTGTGTCGAGCTTACCTCGAATGCATTTGCATCTTACCAATGATTGACTATCTGTCAGCTGAGATCTAATGATTGGTGACTTCACAAATAATTTGTCCAATATTTTCAACTACATATTGTGTTGGAGGTGATAGGGTTTACTTCAATGATTTGGGGGAAAGTTCTTGAACAGAGGAACCGACATCAGTACATGTATTTAGCTTTCCATACTTTCCATAAACCCGGCTTATTTTAAAGTATATCCCGAATATTTGGTTTTGTACGCCTGTACTTTCTATATCTGCTCATCCATCCAGGATGTCATGAAATGTATATATGCCATTGTGATTTAGAACAGCCAGGCTATTTGATCAATTTGGTTTGCAAACATAATTTACGGAAATAATCAACACAATGCACGTCCCATATGGACAGCTATGCATAGAAATGTTTGAATTGTTGGAAAAGCGTGCTGATCATAGGATCTCCTAGATATCCCAACATTTGTTTGTGCTGCCCATCTAATGATATTCCAATATATACTCCAAATAAGAAACGCATAGGTGATATTGGTATATGAAATTACAAATATTTTTCAAACTTAGTATAATTATCATAATTTCGCCTTATAATGCTGGTTTATGTACATGGAACAAATGCAAAGCACAAAAACGCATCTTCGGAAACCTTAATGCACGTTTACGTTCGAAAGTGCAAACTGGCATGAAAATGTCATATAGAAAAAGTAGTTGGTAATATGCACGTGCAGTTATGAGGACTCGTGAGCAGGGACATTGCCTATATAAGGCCGTTTGATTTTAGGCGGTCATTGGCTCTTTTCAGCTAAATGAAAGAATATCGTTATGCCGCGACTCACTGCTGTAAATCAAAACAATGCCATTGGACGTTTGGAGGCTGGGGAGTCTCCACCTGACGTTGCACGTCACCTCAATGTTTCCCAGAGTAGCATGAGTCGTTCATGATACCCATATCACCATGCCAAACATGTTAACAGACATTTGAACTTTTATAATGTGAAATCTGGCTGCAAATGATCCAGAATTACATGTGTTACCTATGGAATACTGTAAGGGACATCCTCGCGATCTAGCATTCTCGCGATCTCGACCTTTGGAAACAAGCTAAAAATGCCAAAAGTGCAAGAATGCGAGATCGCGAGAACGCAAGTTTTGGCCAAAGTCTCGCGTTCTCGCATTCTCGTGTTTAAATAAGGCCACAAAAACACGAAATCGCGAGAACGATTGACAAAGATTACATTTGATCAGTGTGTGGTACCTATATGGGATTATTGCATGCGTTGACTGTTCGGCTGCTGGATGTGCAGACACACTCTCGTGTCACCAACAGGATAGGTTTCTTTGTACAGACTATTGTCTATTTCAATATTATACCATGTATTATTATAAGTCTTTATGCCAACACTAATTTTGTATATAACTATAAACATGTGATCACGTAAGTCACTTGTGTGATATTGCATCGCGTAATACCTGTATATGATTGTTGATAGGCACATTTATGCACTATACTTATTATGATGACATGTTCATCAGATGTGATTTTATGTTGTGTATATCGTGTATATTATTGTTATTACAGGGTGTCTTCTTCCACCACGATATGGAATTGAAAACAGATATGTCACTCATAACCCGTAGTCTATGGTTAATAACACATTGGAACTCCACTATATCATGGCTGCCACAGGAACACAAATATTATTGGTACAAATGCATTTCTATTTCTTGGAACTCGGAAACGAAAGAATCATGTAAGACAGGGTGTTTTGTAGTCAGGCGGGAGCGGAAGAAAATTATGAATTAATATTTTATGGCCTAAACTAGCGAATATGGTGTCGAGTAAAACATCAGACATGCTCATTTTAGCCGACTGCTACAAATTGGTCGGTTAGAATTTTGTTTGAATGAATATGCTAGCCGTATATGATATTGCATCATGGAGAAACTCACTGGTCTGTGATTATTTCTATAACTGACGGTGTAGCTGCGAATTGATGCGGCTTTAAGCACTATTTTATCACTCACTGACGTTGATATTTTTTCCAGCTTCCGGACACTTTTATGTTTTCACTTTTATTGGACATTCATATTCACAATTTAGTTTGTTAAATAAAATTTAACACGTTGAGGATTTTTAAGTACATAGGAAATTGTAATAACGGGAGCGGACTTATATACACTACCCTACACATCGTGTATGTAAATTACATAGCATTTTCAAGCTATGTGATAATTTTGCTAAATGCTAGTTGGGAAATGAAAAGCATGAAAGAAGCATGACCACAGCACTACTAAGATGCGCATGCGCCTTGACATTATGATATTGCGCATACGCAACGACAGCGTCTAAAACGTGAGAACGCGAGAAAATGAAATGTTGCATTCTCACGTTTTCGCGATTTCGTGTTTGTGTGGCCTTATTTGACAAGTCGAGATTCCGAGATTTTACAGCATGTACAAATGTCGCATTCTAGCGTTGTCGACTTTTGACAAAAAGTGCTATGTACCCAAAACACGAGAATGCGAGATCGCGAGAACGCGAGATTTTGGCCAAATCTCGCGATCTCGCATTCTCGCACTTTTGGCATTTTTAGCTTGTTTCCAAAGGTCGAGATCACGAGAATGCGAGATCGCGAGAATGTCCCTTACAGTATTCCATAGTTACCTCACTTTATAGTAAGCAGATTTAATTCATGAAAAATTACCTATGGGTTTATTTGAAGAGAGCATATAATCAGTTCCCGTGATTTTCAGGGAGATAACAGATAAACGCTCATGTAAATAAGGAAGCGTGACGACCATTCCTAAATAGTGCTACCGCTGCCACCCATTATGCTGTTATTCAACAAGTCCTGTTTGAGTTGTCCACAGAATATTACTCGTATTAATGTAATACGAACTTCAGATATTTGTCTTGCAGTGATACGCGTGACGATTTGGGGTCCAATTAGTCTTCAGCTTGTCGTTAGAGGCGACTAACAGGATCAGATGGTCAAGCTGACAGACGTAGTTGATGTATGGCATCGCATCCCAAATGTATAGATCGATGTCAGTCACTGGATTGTCTGTTCCAGACGAGAACGGAAGTTCGCGGATTCGATCCCCGGCCGTGTGTTACCAAAATACGTTAAAATATGGTACTTGTTGTTCCCTTCCTGGCGCTCGGCATTAATGGGTGAAACAGGGACTGGTCGGCTGGGAGTCGTTATAATGTGTCTGGGTGGGGAATGCATGCTTAACTGCGGCATGGTATCTCAGTGGGCTAGCACTATAAAACCAGTTTAAAGTATGGGTCACAAGCAGCCACAAATACACACGCCTGCACGTTGACATATGAGAGAACTATTCTTAAGTACGACGTTAAATCCCATTTCAACTCACCTCACCTCACCTGTTCCAGACTCGATAATTTACAGTCTGCCGTCATATAACTGGTAAACTGGGGCGTCAAACAGCAGAGAAACAAAAGTAGTTCACCGATTATGACAATGTTTCGCTCAGAGTGCTTTTAACACACCAAACAATGTCGGTATAGTTCATCGTCTTTAGCGATTTCTATACAATCTTGATAACTATCAATGGAATTAGTTTGGCTGTTCGTCTGACTATCGTGTTTCTGTTTTAAGTATATTGCTTGAAACGTCGAAAACATTCAGTCCAGTCAAACACAATTTTCAGTGACCTTCTCGCTGTCTTCTGAAGTGTCGATGTCCTAAGTTATCAGACGTTCATACACATCAACATTGGTTCGATCCGGGTGTATTCGTTTTCTTATCTTTGTACCTTCCTTTGAAGTTCTATGTTCGAAAATACCTCCTCTAACCCATTCAATGGAACACATAGAGGACCTCTTTAGCCTTTGAGTGAGTGAGTGTAGTTTTACGCCGCTTTTAGCTATATTCAAGCAACATCACGGCGGATGACACCAGAAATGGGCTTCACACATTGTACCCATGTGGGGAATCGAACCCGGGTCTTCGGCGTGACGAGCGAACGCTTTAACCACTAGGCTACAACACCGCCCCTAACGATAGATTATTGTGTATACAATAACAATATTTATCATTTTCAAATATACTTGAATTAAACGCCTGTTTCATGCTTTCAAACTCATAGAGCTAACATGTGCAGAAACCAATATTTAATATGTTGAATACTTCGAATACTTATGTCACTGGGTTACAGAATAATTTCCCGTTTAAGGACAACCTGTCAACACCTGCACATCGGTCAAATAAGCTTTTACTTGAAAACAAGAGCAAGTGATCAGTCAAAGAGATATTCCAGAGAATGAGACGGGGTTGTTCAGCCCACTTTGGAATTCTATCTACAGCGTCCCAGAAACAGGAGGTCCTGAAACACCCAAACACGGCCATGCCAAAACACAAAGTGGAGAAGGCATTAGACTGATCATGGTATTCGTGTTTAATGTTGTCGTACTGTCATTTCATACTGATGTTGTTCCGTTCCTTCCTACAGATGTTAACGCCCAGGATGCCTGCAGCAACGGGTTCAACGCGGCCTGTCTGGCAGAAGTGAGGTCCCTCTACACCAATACCTCAGCCTTCTGGTTTGGGACGAGGTACGCGACAGACTGCCCACCTGGCAAAGTGAGCTCCTTGTGTAGAAACACTGAACGATCCGAAAAGTCCCTCTTCACTCGAATTTTGGGTACAGGCGCCACCCACAGCAACGGTCTAAGCTTCATCGTCAAAGTCACGTACCCTATTACTGTTCCAGGTAAGCAACACCTTTATCAATTTAGGAAGAAATGAAATCAGTTGTGGAGACTCGAATCACAAACTTTGGGAAAATGATTTTAAACAGATAAACGTTAAAATAAGAATTACAGATTGTTCTCAGCGTGTGTTGTTGTTGGATAAAACAAAGAGTTTCCAAATTTTGCTTGCCAGTCGACCTAGCTACATGTATGCCTGAAAGTTACTAGCCCACACATAATTCACTAGTCCGAAATTTGAATGTAGAAACTAAGCAAAATATTACAGAAAGGTAAATACCATAATTTATCAGGCCATAATCTTGCATGATTTGAAAGTGTATTATAACTTTACAAGTCGAAGAGAGTTATATATTTAAAAAATGAACCCATGAAAATGCAGTAGCCAGTCGGGGCAGTGATTATGGATATTTACTGGCCCGGCTGGATTTTACTAGCTACGGTCTAGCTGGCCAGAGGGCACTGGGCACTGAGATTACAGGGGGTGCGGTTTATTAACACGTCAGTACTAAGCACGACAAATGTGTTACATCAATATTATACTACGCTTCTCAAATGTCTGATGTCTTGTATTTTCAGCTGATGGATCTGACCGTGAGTACATCCCTCCTCCACAACTTCCCCACATGCACATTCATTTACATGTAACACGCCTATTTATTAACTATGTCAATAATTAATTTATCAATAAGGAGAATTCTGTTTAACATTGGCGATGTCAATAATATTAAAATTTATCGAATTAAGGGATAAATTCTCTTATCGACTTTGAGCTGCCAAATCTTTGATCTGTATGATTAAGGGGAGACAACTCTCTTAGCTCTAGGTAATCAACAGAAACTCGCGGCAGGGCGTTACCGTCTTGTCGGCGTAATGGCCGAGGGCAGATAACTCTGAAATTCTTTCACTAAGCACATGGTGCCAGCGGGATTGCGAAGTGAAATATTAACAAGGCAAATATATTCTATGCTTGCTTAAAATTCAGCTTGTGCAAGATCATTCGGTGTAAAATTTCCCTCTCATAAATGTTGTTAATCATGTCGCTATCGATAACGTTATATCCATTATTTCAATTTTTGATCGTCTAATTTTACATAAATGTGTATAATCATGCGTTTTATGGATTTTGTGTGGCGTTTCGTTATAAATACAACCGTGGAGATCCGGGTTAGAATTGGTCTTGATCAACCCATGCTTATCAGTCCATAAGAGGCCACTAACGTCATCGGGTGGTCTGGCTCGCTGACTTAATTGGCACATGTCATCGTATCCCAGTTGCGTAGAACGATGCACGTGTTGTTGATCACTAGATTGTCTGGTCCAGACTCGATTATTTACACACCGCCGCCATATAGCTGGAATATTGCTGAGTGCGGCGTTAAACAACAACCAAACCAAAACGCTATAAATCATAAGTCTTTGTTAAACACCAGGTAAATACAACGGGTGTGGGAGAATAGTGGATGCACCTTTAAATAGACCACAACATTTTGCCATCGATCCTCTCGGCAAAACCGTATATCCCCCTTACGACCTGCGAGAGGAGCCGGAAGTGACGTGGCAAGCCGAGAAGAATGCCCTCTACGCTGTTATTATGTACGACCCTGCCCCGTTCTACATGCATGCTTTCTACGTCAACGTCCCCGGCGGCAAACTGAAGAATGGAGACGTAGGGATAAGTTCTCTATATAGATATATTGTTGGGCGCGGAGATCAGTTTTATACAGTACCGTGCCAAAAGTGTTGCAAGAAAAATGGCCGCCGCTCTAAGTAGAGGTTCTCACCTGAAATTTTCAAGCAATGAACATGACTTTAAAATAATGTTTTTCTTACCTTGTTTTGAGTAGTATTTGGTGATATAACCTCTCTGAATCCTTACACTCATCAATCTCCGTGGAATTGACTGGTATAAACTAGATACATACACTGGGGTCAGGCTTTGCTAGATCCTAGTTACACAGTCTATGAGGTCCTGGCGTGTTTTGAGGCCGGCGGTGTCTTTATTCAGTGTCAGTTTGAGACATTATCACACATTTTCTATAATGTTGAGGTCTAGAGATTGTGCAGGCCAGACAAAAGTAGGGAGGTTGTTTGCTGTTTTCCACTCAGTGGTCAGTCTTGGGGTGTAGCATTGTCATCTTGGAAAATAAATTCATTATTTCCAAACACTTTGGTCACAACAGGCCATAAATGTTCATCAATGAGTTCAATATACTTCTGTGAGTTCAGGGTACCCTCCACTGGCACAAGTGTTCCAACGCAATCCTTCGTTATGCACCCCCATAACATACAGCTAATCCGAGCCGGTACCTTCAGTGCGTTCAGACACTCGGGTCTCCACTTCTCATCAGATTTTCTTCAAACATAAACAGACTTGTTCTTTCCAATCACCACCTGAGTTTTCTGTATAGATACATTGTTTGGCGTAGGGATCAGTTGTCTATATAGATATATTGTTGGACGCGGAAATCAGTTTTCTCTATAGATATATTGTTAAGCACGGGGACTTTTTTCTACATAGATTAATTGTTGGGCGCGGGGACAGTTTTCTATATAGATATATCGTTGGGCGGGGGGAACAGTTTTCTATATAGATAAATTGTTGGGCGCGGGGAACAGTTTTCTACATAGATGAATTGTTGGGCGCGGGGATAGATTTCTATATAGATAAATTGATGGGCGCGGGGACAGTTTTCTATATAGATAAATTGTTGGGCGTGGGGAACAGTTTTCTATATAGATATATTGTTGGGCGTAGGGAACAGTTTTCTACATAGATGAATTGCTGGGCGCGGGGACAGTTTTCTATATAGATAGTTGTCTATATAGATATATTGCTGGACGCGGAGATCAGTTTTCTCTATAGATATATTGTTAAGCGCGGGGACAGTTTTCTATATAGATAAATTGTTGGGCGTAGGGAACAGTTTTCTATATAGATATATTGTTGGGCGTAGGGAACAGTTTTCTACATAGATGAATTGTTGGGCGGGGACAGTTTCTATATAGATAGTTGTCTATATAGATATATTGCTGGACGCGGAGATCAGTTTTCTCTATAGATATATTGTTAAGCGCGGGGACAGTTTTCTATATAGATAAATTGTTGGGCGTAGGGAATTGGTTTTCTAAATGGATAAATATATTGCTGTTGGGCGTAGGATATATTGTTAACAGTTTTCTATACAGATGAATTGTTGGACGGATATTGACGTGGGAATTGGTTTTCTAAATGGATAAATTGTTGGGCGTAGGGAACAGTTTTCTACATAGATGAATTGTTGGGCGCGGGGACAGTTTTCTATATAGATAAATTGTTGGGCGCGGGGACAGTTTTCTACATAGATAAATTGTTGGGCGCGGGGACAGTTTTCTATATAGATGACTATTTGGGGGTGGGGAACAGTTTTCCATATAGATATATTGTTTGGCGTGGGGAACAGTGTTCTATATATAGATAAATTGTTGGGCGTGGGGACAGTTTTCTATTTGGATAAATTGTTGGGCGTGGGGACAGTTTTCTATAGATATAGATATATTGTTTGGCGTGGGAACAGTTTTCTATATAGATAAATTGTTGGGCGTGGGGAACAGTTTTCTATATAGATAAATTGTTGGGCGCGGGGACAGTTTTCTATATAGATAAATTGTTGGGCTCGGGGACAGTTTTCTATATGGATAAATTGTTGGGCGCGGGGACAGTTTTCTATATAGATGTTGACGCTGGAATTGTTGGGATAAAATTGTGGGCGAAACAGTTTTCTATAGATGATATAGATAAATTGTTGGGCCCTTGGGCATGGTTAGAACAGTTTTCTGTATAGATAAATTGTTGGGCTCGGGGACAGTTTTCTATGTGGATAAATTGTTGGGCGTAGGGATCAGTTGTCTATATAGATGAATTGTTGGGCGCGGGGACAGTTTTCTATATAGATATATTGCTGGACGTGGGAATTGGTTTTCTAAATGTAATTGTTGGGCGCGGGGACAGTTTTCTATATGGATAGATTGTTGGGTGAGGGGGCAGTTTTCTATATGGATAAATTGTTAGGCGTGGGGAAGTGTTTTATATGGATAAATAATTGGGCAAGAATGTACAAGAAAAAACCCTAGAAAATTGGATTTGATCTAAAAGTCATAAACACCCAACACATCCATGCAAACTTCGATTGAAAACAAAGTCATATCATCTTAAAGATGGAAGCTTCATAGCCCAGTGGAGCTCTCACTTCTTGACTCAATTTCGAACAATGAAAGGACTATGGGTACAATGTACAGTCCGTTTGGGTTCAAATGAGAACGATGAATGATTAAAGAACACGAAATAGGGATAAGTGCACAGAACATGAATAAGACACATGGTCCTTAAACCTCTGTACCCAATAGGATCTGAAATCTGATGTTTTTTGGTCGATCGCGGAAAAAGTTGTGAAGAAACCCTCATGTAATATTATGCTATGTTAAGGCTTCACACCAAGGGGTGACAAACGGCTGGTGAAACAGCGCCGGCTGTTTGCTGACAAGTTGGGGGTCATCTCACCTGGCTGTGCTGAGTTGCACCTGAAGTGCGTGACGACGGTGTTCCACCAGCCGTTTGTCACCCCTTAGTGTGAAGCGTGAAAATAGCAAAATATTACATGATGGTTTCTTAAACAACTTTTTTCGTGATCGACCAAAAAATGTGAGATTTCATATCCTATTGGGTACAGAGCTTTCAGGACCATGTGTCTTATTCATGTTTGTGCACTTATTCCTATTTCGAGTTATTTAATCATTTGTCGTCGTCATTTGAACCTAAACGGACTGTACACCTCTTAAAACGGTCCCTTGTACCAGTTTTACATATTACTTGCAAGAATGGTGTGTAATATGTATCGGTTAAGCCTGAAAGTTACAGTCTGTTGTTGTACTCACTTTGTTTTTACATATTTGTTACATATTTATTCACTAAAAGTCCCACGGGAGAGTATACGGAAAGCACTGCTTTCTTTCAAACATCCAGGGGGTATACGGGGCAGAATTTGCCATTCTTTGCTTGTCTTTAGAACAAATAATCACGTACAGTGGCATAACACCACGTGGTCTGAACAGAATGTCACTATGTGCCCGTATGTTACTACAGCGTTTAACTCACTCACTACGTGCCCGTAGCGTTGATGCATGCTCATGACATTGACCACCAGTCATAGCTGACAGCATGCGGCATATTACAATACGCTCTCGGTCAAAACATATATCTAGGCGTTTTCGCTATTATCAGGATGTCATGAGCTATTATCAGGACAGTATCAGCAATAAACTGGTATTAAATGTAGCCAACTTTGATTAACCCCATTGTCTCGTGTTCTGTCACGTAGTACTTTAATTAGGTCTTTAGACTTGGGTATCACTCAAAATTTACCTTTGATATTGAGCAATGTATCCTTACAGACGATATTCCCGCACAATGGGCCTGGAAACCCCGTTGACCGTGTCAACCCCTACATCTGGCTCGTGTTTAAGCAGCAGAAATCGGTGGACGGTTCAAAGATAGCCCGCAATCGTCGCGGTGTGCACATCCAGGACTTAGTCTCGCAGCTTGGACTGTCAAGTAAGAATTGCATTTAAGAAGATCGTTTATTCAGACTGTGTGTTTATAGTATATGTCATTGTAACACAACGAAGCATGCTGATACTGCCATCTGTCTTGTGGAGGTGCGTGGCCCTGTGCATAGAGTTCAGGTCACAAATTAGCTGAAGTTAAGCAACGTTGGGCGCTGAGAGTCCTTGGATGGGTGACCATGTGTGACCGCTTGACTCCTCAAAGTTTCCAGGACTTCAGTCCTGCCCCACAACGAAGCACATGTGATACATGAAGCACATGTGTAAATGGGTACCCGGTGAAATAAGTCGTGAGACTGTTAACCCTGTATACGTAGCGCCAAGCAGGCAGCTTAGGTTATCCAGGGTAATAATGATCAGATTGTGCTCTTTGAGCAGGATATCTAGCCTCGAAAAGACGCGTTATATACATTCTCATTATGATTATCTTGTGTCACAGATGCATGTATCAAGTTGATTATGCAGTTAACTTGGTTGCACACCAACCTCCACTGTAAAGGTTTGGAAGCTACATAACCCTTTTCCATGGTTACAGCACAGTCGTATGGCATGAACATTGTCATGACGTCAACGGATGAGTTCACCGCCGTCTTCATCCGGTCAGTAAATTTTCTGAACAGATGTCCAGTGTACTACGGGCAATGTAAGTTGTACACATGTCTGTCCATAAGTAGCTTAGATTATGTTTTAAATTACTCGACTTCATGAAGTGAATATTCTATCTTATATAATTCTTTCGATTTACCATGTTGGTTGTGAAATATCTGAAATCTGAAAGCCAACATGATGGATCAGCAGCCGTACCCCCAGGCATTAGACAACAATAATACATGAGTACATGGGGCAATATTGAAAGATTATACTTTAGTGCTTTTAATGATTAAGCTAAGGTGTCAGCTGCGAAATTTCCACTCATGTAAATTCTGCTGAAATGCCTTAAGTGATTGCGCAAAGTTGGCAGCGAAAATTCAAAATTAGGAACGAGAAGAGCGCGTAACTTGTTTATTTCAATTAACTTTTAAACAATCGCTGCAAGCTTGTTACTGAATATTGACCCAGGTATATATGTCTGCGTATATATTTATCAGTTATCATCCCCTTAATGCCAGACAGTACCAACAAGTGCCACCTTTCAACGTCTTTTGAAATCGAACCTCTACCTTCCACTCACAGTGCTGATACTCGATCCACTGTACCACTCGGGCGATAGACGTGAAATTTGTGGGTCAAATTTTTCTTTTATTCAAAATCCACGCTATCTCGAATTCTATGGATAATGAATACTAACATACTTAACATACTATGGATAATGAATTATTACCCCCGTTATTTCATTCTCAGCTTCCTGAGGAGAACCCATCAGGCAGTAGAACGTTACACTCACGTGACTATCTCGTCCAATTGTATTCACTGCCGTAGCCATATCAGTCCAGCAGCAAAAGGCCTGCCTTCAGTGCCCAAAGCGTTATTTTTACACAAATCCATGCCTGTCTGGATCTGTCGACTGCGAATGATCCACGAAAGATTCCTAAAGTGGATGCGATATTACCGATATGAGCTTTCTATATCCTTGGTACTCATTAGCATAATTATAGTAAGTGAGTGAGTGAGTGAGTGAGAGAGTTTTGGTTTTACGCCGCTTTTAGCAATATTCCAGCAATACCACGACGGGGAACACAGTAACCGAAACATGAGTCTCACTAACCAATTCAGACAATTACTTGCTTTTCAGCCGATCCGAATTATCTCGTGTGAAAGTGAAAATAGACATCACAAACAACTATGGTTACACTGAATTTCAATTCCTTGTTTCAAAAGAAAATGGTATTTACAAATGAATTTTAATTTTAAAGTTTAATAACATCGTATTTTTATATTTTATGGCGAGGTGTAGGCAGCATGACCAACTAAGACGTCAAAGACTGCCCCAGTTTGATGAGGTCGTAAAATAATTCACAATGCATTTGGCTCACTGGTTACACCTGTTATGTGTTGTTTGCGCTTATACAATGTAGTTCTGTAACGCACAAGGTGATTGATATAATATCAAGTCCGTACCAGACCGCCAAACCTTTCTAGCGGCAGAGCCTCGTTTTGAGATTTCCACGATTTCCAGGTTTCTGTTTGTCATTGCTTGCTCGCTGTACGAGTGAGTGAGTGAGTTTAGTTTTACGCCGCACTCAGCAATACTCCAGCTATATGGCGGCGGTCTGTAAATAATCGAGTCTGGACCAGACAACCCAGTGATCAACAGCATGAGCATCGATCTGCACAATTGGGAACCGATGACATGTGTCAACCAAGACAGCGAGCCTGACCACCCGATCCCGTTAGTCGCCTCTTACGACAAGCATGGGTTACTGAAGGCACATTCTAACCCAGACCTTCACGGGTCTCGCTGTACGACAGAGCACTGTACGACTGAGCACGCTATACGACATGTTTGCAAGGATTATAAGGAGCGTGTGTTGCTTTATACGAGTTCTTAGATGTATCAAATAATACTGATTAATATTTATGTATCCAGTTAAATGAATTGGTCTCAAAATTCTGGACTGGTTATTGTACTAAGTTGCGCAATAGGACGGAACCCAGTCAACAGGAAACGAGACTGTTTTGTAAGCAATGGTTTGATTTGAAATTGGCTTCACATACTGTACCCATAAGCATGTGGGGGATCGAACCCAGGTCTCTGGCCTGACGAACAAACGCTTTAACCATAGGCTACCCTACCGCCCCCCTTATTATAGCAAAGATGGGCACACCTACCATTACAAACGTACTGAACAATAAATTAATATGATTTAGTTTTATGATTTAGGGTTGAGCAGCTACATTCAGAAAGAGGGTGGGCTCCCGTCATTTCCGGCGCGACTTGATCTTAGTGTGTCCGTTGATGTCACCTTCAAGGCCCCCGCTATAACGTACACAGCGTGTGGAAAAACCTATCACAAAAGGTTGGTATGCTCATTTATCATCCAAAACTGTGTTCCACAGGAGATATCGCTTGTGTGAGATCATATGATATCTCCTAGGAGATATCGTTTTGACAGTAGATTTTGTACAATGCCCTGACAATGCTATGACGTCATCAACTTGATGACATCGCCGCACTGCAAGTCTAATGGTAGTACAGTGTTAAGAGATGTACATTTGTCATTGGAAACTAATGAAGAATGGTTTTGATGATAAATAGAATCTCACCCTCGTGTCTACTGATATCAATTATATCAACACTCGTTGATAAAGGTAAAAATATCCTCGGCAAGCCTCGGGTATTTGTAACTTTATCAACTCGTAGTGATATAATTGATATCAGTAGACACGAGGGTGAGATTCTATATGTCCTAGCTGTAACACATCGTGCGAAATGCTATTTCAAAGAAGGTGTATACAGTGGCATCTGTCAAATCCGGACTCCTTGTAAACCGGTCTTCTCCATAATATGGACTACTCTCATAATCCCGGCAAAACTTAATTTCAACTTGCTATCATAACAATGCTTTGTAATCCTTTCATTCTGCAACGAAGACATCGTGCAGTATGCTTTTTTGAATATATGTTGCATCTCATATTTCCTCTATACCTTTCTTATAGTGACGAACAACCCATTTCTAACGTATGAATTGTGTTTCTCAAAAGATGAAAACTTCAAGTTCCTGCTGTAGAGTACTCAGTTTACCATTTTGCATATAATAAAATGTGTATACAAACCTAAAAATATCATGGAAAGTCATTTCTAAGATTATGTTTATTCATTGCTTAAACCGATATATTTAAATTACATATTTTAATGGTATTTTCTTGTGGACATGTATGTGGAGGAAATACCTAACTGTTCAAATCATGTTTGATGATAAAACATAATGACCTAATCTGCGTGCAATCACATTTTCTCTGCTTACATAGTAGGAGTTATGCCTGTAATAGTCTTAGCACTTGTATCAAAACAAGGGCTTTGGTTAAAAATGTCCTTTATTTAGAAACCTTGTGGTTAGCATGGTGGCTATTACACAACAGTCAGGGGAGATCACTCTACTGACATGCTTTACAGTGATGCTATTTGGCTACAACTATTTATGATTATAGCGAACCTCTGTTAGCTGAAGTACATTTCACCACAATTCCTTTTCCGTGTTTTTGCACAGTAACAATCAATAACTTTTTGACTTTCAGCCTGCGCGTGATGATGAGGAATTTTTCTGTTTCAGCCAAGTGAACATCACGGCAGATTATCGGTACATGGGTCAGTTAGGATCCTTGCAAACACGGCTCTCCCCAAAAGTCAGCCTGGTTCCCCTGGATATGAGCAATCCCCCTCAGTCACACTGAAAAGTGAGTGATGTTCAACACACACACGAATATGACCAAGGAAATGAGCACAAACTCGATGAATATAATAAACTCATGAGCAAAAACGTATACATTTGGAAATCGGAATTGACCACAGATGTGAAATGTTTAAAAAAAATATGAGGTTGGAAATAGTCGCTGAAACAATATAATCTTACGGACCAAAACACAGTTATCATGCCGTATCACAGCATGTCACCATTGAATGTTTTACTCATATCTCCTTTGTAGCATATGTACCCTACATCAGACATTTGTATTTAATTTTATTTTATTTTGCTCGGCTGTACATATGTGTGTACTTTCTCAACAAATAGATCAAGGCTTTATATTGCCTTTGATTATCAACGCATTTGTCTCGAGCACGAAAGTGTATCTCAACAAATATACGACAGAAAGACACACAAATGAATTTTAGTCAGTATGTGCATGGGAAACACTAGCGTACGTGCGTCTGGGCTGACAATCAAACATTATGGCATATAGTCTGATAATTTCGAATATATTGCAGGACTTGTTGACGAAGTTGCTGATTGTTAAAGTTTTAGGCTGATTATAAACAAATGCGAGGGAGTGCTGCTTTTCGCAAGTTGACATACATTGATCTGTTTGACTGGCATTTTAGAAGTTGATGAATAATATGGAGGGTATGATTTGGGAACTTTGTGGATGACAAAGTTCTATATTATATAATGGTACATACTCTTACACCGTTGTCAAGCAACAGTGGCGTTTCGGCAAAGATCAGTATTGTTGCTTTACTTGACAAGAATCTATACCGTTCTTGTACACACATTAGAAGGAATGATCTTGTTTTCAGACAAGCAGTACACCCTGTTGATGCTCGACTTGACCGACGAACTGGGAAAGACAAATCAGAACTCCAACATCCACTGGATGGTCGTCAACGTCCGGGGTACTGACATCACTTCCGGTGACGAGGTGTACAAGTGGCAACTGCCCATGGCATCAACGTTGAATCATCTCTACCTGTTTGCTTTGTTCGAGCAGACGAAACAAGTCAGCGCCGCGACAGCGAAGACTTTCAGTGGAGCCAACTGTCCTGCCTTCAGCAAATCCCGGTAAGATAAATAAAGAATAAATACAAGCACAAATCGGCCCCTTTGGTGTGCATGTGTGTGTGCATGAGAGTTTGTGTGTACGTCCGTCTGTGCATGTGTGTTACTAATTCCTCATTCATCAATATTCAAGCTCGGTGACAACGGCCTAAATGTTGTGTTGGTGAATCTGTGTATGTATTAGTGTGCCAGCGTGTGTGGGTGTGACTCTTGTCTTTACCTGCGTCACTGTTAGGCGACGCTCCGCAATATACTAACTTCAAGCGATGTAAACAATTAGAGGCACAATGTCACACATTTTCGACAATATTTTGGCCTATATTATACATATTGAGGCATATGCACTCAATTTAGTTTCCTATTGATGCAATAAAAGACTTATTATCCCTTACGACTTGCCTGAAATCGATAACTGAAACTTCGAGGCGAACCGCTTCCAAACAGTGAACACTTGCCATATATGGAATGTAAACAATTTCTCCGTACATCGAAAACTGTCGCACGCGATGTTGTTGGTGTTTGCCTAACTGGTTCCAATCACAAGTTATGGGTAGGATATTCGTAAAGAGCGCTCCAAGGGACATCTGATAATTCATTCGAACTATTTAATTTAATATCGTAGTCCAAAGGAGTATTTTTTTAAATAAATTATATGGTTGCTTCCCTGGAGGCTGATAGTAAGTGTTATTGAGAGAAATGCATTATATTTTTAGAGAAGTGTGGTGTGATATAGTGCTTCTAAGCTGTAATACTTATCAGGAACATATAAACCAATAGATGTTATTAGCAACGATCCACGCCCCGTGTAACACGTAGACGTTTTACCCGATCCATAATGTCACTTTTTACGAGTATTGCTATGGAACAATCTTTATCAACACACCCAACCGGTTGGCAATTTGGCCACCTCGCATGGAAAGAACAAAAGTGATTCTACACTCTACAAACGGCACATTCTACCCTCTACCCTCTACCCCACCTTTCTAAGATGGATGGACAAAAATGAGTGGTAGACATAATGTACCGATGGCGTGTCATCAATTTTCCCTTCGAATCACTTATTTTTGAAAGAGCGTATCGAAAAATATACTATTTTTATTGATTAGGATTATCGTACAATGTATTGCCGTAAGTATTACTATCATCTGTGTTGAATGAGTGAGTGGGTGAGTAGTGTATCACAGATATTAAAGTAAAACTAGCATGTTATCAAAACGATATTATGAAGAGAACAATATTTTTATAAAAAAAGGGCTGTGGATCACCAGCAACTGAAGGAAGATCACCTCACTAGGTCTATGGGGACAGTACTTTTGCTACCTGCATGCATTCTAGCTGGATTTACATCATAACTTCAGGTGTTGGCGATTGTTTATCAAATTAGCCATACATTAAGGGAGCAGATAGTCCATTAAATTTCGGAGAATGAAAATACTTTGAATGAAATGGGACTGACATACGCTTTTAGAGGGGGCAATTATTTTACGCCGCTTCAACCCCCTTTAAAGGTACAGCCACTTACAATGACAATTATTTATTCATTCGAACAACTTAAACTTTTACAAACTAATTACAACATTTATGCATATACACATTTATCAGTTAATTCAAAAAAATTTAAAAACCCAATAACTAAACATTAAATACTGATATTAAAATATTTAGGGTTGAAACTTTTGATCCCATGTGATGAAAAATCAATACAGTCAGGGTTGGTCCATTATAAAACTGAGCCCAGACTAGTACAACATGTGCATCATTTCTTCGTGGCTTCAAAAGTACAATAATCCTACCTCACAATATTCACATTGACATTCTGAACTTTGCTTCTTGCAGGTGCAAGTTTAGAGCTGGGGACTTCATCCGTGACAACAAGCTCTCCCTCGTCGGTTTACGACGTCTCCGAATCATCCCCGACACCTACCAACAGTACATGTCGTACGCAGTGGCCAAGATCGAAACCATGACCCAAGCGTGCAAGCGTGCGGTACCTTTAGTTGGATAAAATTATATCTGAACAAAGGGCTTATATAAGGACCTATGTATTTGTACAATTGTGTTTCAAAAACCCTTCTGGATTTAGCTGTTGTATTAAAGAATATATGAGTAAACTTCGTTTCGCCTTTTGTGACAGTGTTCCCAACATGATGGAGGCAATCTTATCAAGATCGGATCACATCACTAGTTACTGCTAAACCAAAGAGCTATATACATCCTATTACTAGTCAACGCGAACATTGAAGGACATATTAAGTGAATTAACAGGAAGCCGACACTAACTAACAGTTACTGCTGTTTGAAACACCAAGTGTTAATATTTTCGTCAACCTTGCATAATTAGAAAACACATTTGGAATTTGTCTTTCCCGATCCCGTAAGCAACGCTATGGTTGGTTGGATGGAAGGTCGCAATCTTTGTGTTATATCAGCGTGCAATAAAATTTGATGTTAAAGCAGTTGGAACAGGTACCACAAACTGGCTTCACATATTGTACCCATGTAGGGTAATGAACCTATGCTGACACATGTCATCGTATCCAACTGCGTACATACATGTAGATGCTCATGCTGTTGACCACTGGTCAAGACTCGATTTACAGAACAACGTCGTAAAGTTGAAATATTGCTAAGTGCGGCGTTTAACAACCAAACCAAACCTGGCCCAACATAGCTGCTTACTTACAGATGTGTAGGGTACCTGGAGTTCCACAATGACAGCTTACTACTGGTACTGTTGGAATTCGCATTCCTATATATTTACTGGAAATGGGCGTAGTGCTGAAATCGTTTTGTGGAACTAGGTCACCTCAAGTCTACACTCTCATGAGCTGACCAAACTGACTATCTGACTGAGCTTTTAGCAAATATTCCAGCAGTATTACGGCGGGGGATACCAAAAATTGGCTTCACACATTGTGGGGTATCGATATTCCAGCTATATGGCGGCGGCCAGTTAATAATCGAGTCTGGTCCACACAATCCTGTGGTCAACAGTAGAGCATCGATCTACGCATGTGCCAACCAAGTCAGCGAGCCTGACCACCCGATCCCGTTAGTCGCCTCTTACGACAAGCAAGGGTTGCTGAAAATCAAGTCTAACCCGGATCTTCACGGGTGTATCAATGAAAATATAGTAGATACTTAGTAATGACAAACGTACTTGTACTCAGAGTACAAAACAAGGAACCCGGTGGTTACAGTGATCGGAAGCAAGATTTTGTGAAAACGTCATAAGAACATCTTTTTTGCTCAGTATCCCTATTACATGAATCATCAGCATGCAATAGCAATAAAATGTCAACAATGTATGACAGACAAATATACTTTTCATCGGAATCTTGATGAAAACGGAAAACTGATAAGGGGCTCTACATGCATCATATTTTGACACAACTCAGTATTTTGACAAATCTAAGGCAGAACTATTTAAAAAGTCTTCAGACTTCAATTCAAACGAATCTTGCATATCATATTTATTGCAGTAACATTTTACCATGTGCACCAGCAGTGTGCTAAATAGCCACTGGCCCGCTAGCCCTTGGCTAGTAAAAATCCAGTCGGGCCAGTAAATCTCCACAGTCACTGTTCCGACTGGATTTCCATGGGGTCACTTTGTAAATATATCACTCTCTCCGACTTGTTCAGTTATAATGCACTTTTAAATCATGCAAGATTATGGCCTGATACAAATGTTCATCATATTAGCAGCTTAATGCTGACCCCCGTGTCTCCATTCAAATTTCGGGCTAGTGAAGTATTTTGTGGGCTAGTAACTTTAAGGCATAGCTAGCCCGACTGGTTAGCAAAATTTGGAAACTATTTCGCACACTGGACTGTACTAGAATTTAACATGTCATAACGTTAATGTTTACACCATTAAATGTATTTATCTTCAGTCTTCAAACAAACAGTAAAATCCGCCTTTGATCTTGGATAAACGCTGTAAAACAAACATACTATCACCCTTATAACCTGCCCTATAGACGAAATACAATGTAGAGGTTTTACACAACTGGATATAGACGTAATAAAAGCCAAGACACAACATAACTTGCGCAGCTTTGGCTCTAGCGACTGGGTTATTTCCTCAGGTAGTGGGGTCTGACAAGTGTTTACTTAAATACTCAGATTTAGATTTCCCCCGTCATAATGAGGTTTAGCAATATTCCAGCAATATCACGGCGAGGACACCAGAAATGGGCTTCACACATTGTACCCATGTGGGGAATCGAACCCGGGCCTTCGGTGTGACGAGCGAACGCTTTAACCACAAGACCAATTCTAACCCGGATCTTGACGGGTGTAATACATTTTGAAATTTTATACTTGCATATACTAGAAATTAAAGCACTTAAGATACACTACTGTAAAAACGTAACACATACTTTGAGTTGTTTTATTCCAACTCAGGTACGTCATATTGTTTATGCTGCAACTGGAGGACCGTACAGCTGATTACAGACGGGGGACGTACCTTTCACAAGACCACAAACATCACTGCATAAACATCCTCGGAACGCCGGTTTCCCCTTTCAACCTTAACGAGCAGATGGAAGTGACGTTACCCGCAGCAAAGAGCGCATTTATACTGTTTTACCACACCCATTTCTAGGTACATACACTCAAGCCAACGTCTTGACTGACTGAATGGACACGTGGGCGACATTTCCTCTCCACAATATAAACTGAAAATATATCACCATGGAATAAACGTGTCATCGTTGTTTCTCTTTTGCTGTGCTCGTCAAACATGGGTATATTCATCTTTGCCGTTTATTCTAAAAATCATTGAATACAATATTATATTTTACGCATTTTTGTTTGCACACATATATTACTTGTACTTTGTTAACAAATAAGGAGCTCCCTTTTCTTATCAATAAAGACTTTCGTGCGACCAAGTCAACTAAAGAATTGGCTCGTCGTGCTGGCATCCTTAGTTAGAATCCTAGATTCGACCTGATAATGTTGCATACTTTCTAAGCACCATACCCTGCCCGTGGGCTTCACAATACTTAGTTTGTATCGAGTACTGTCTGCGTGAAATGCCCCTGGGAAAAGACTTACTTTAGTCATGAGGGAGACATGGTTTTGCATGTTTGTTTCACCCATGTAAGACACCAGGTATATAACGGCAGATTATACATAAGGTAGCTTGGGCCAGACACAAGGTCGCGTTATGTGTCACGCCCCACTACGCCGGGATGCGATAACCTGTCATGGAGTCGAACAACCCGAGCCAATGATAACCGCATTTTACAAGCACGGGTTGCTGTGACCTTCTCTAACCTGCATTTTAGCTGTATAAAGCGCAGTACAGACCCGTGCTTGTAGATCTTTTATTGGCGTAAACAGCAAAACTCCTAATTTGGTTTAAACATATTTATTCATGAAGATATGAATGGATTGGTCAACAAGCTCTGAAGAGCTTAACTCCTAATTTGGCAGTAAGGGGTGATATCCAATCGAATCCAATGACAAGTTGCGTTATAGGATATTCGTAAAGAGCATTCTAAGGGACATAACTCTATGGGGTTTAATGCAACGTTGCATTAATGCATCCGAACTTTTAATTTCATATTGTAATCTTAATACGTAATTTTTTTCGGAATAAATTATATGGTAGCTTCGCTGGGGGCTGATAGTTAGTATTAGTGAGAGAAATGCAATATTGATTTTTGGAGAAGTGTGGCGTGATAGTGTGCCTTTAAGGTAAACATGCATTTCTGAAACATAAGAAACGATCACAAAAACATTATTGAGAATTGCGGTTATGTCGTGATGAAAATGGATGCTATCGCTGCTTTATAATACATCTAGAGATTAAGTTTGGTTTGGTTGTTGTTTAACGCCGCACTCAGCAACATACTAGCTGTATGACGGTGGTCTGTAAATAATCGAGTCTGGGCCAGACAATCCAGTGATCAACAGCATGCGCATCTATCTCAGCAATTGGGATACGATGACATATATCAACCAAGTCTGGTTGATCACCGATGATAGTTTACAGTAATTCTCAGGGTTTATTCCCAGAGTGGCCTCTCTGTCTAACAACCAAATCCAGGGTCCACTCCGGGACAACTCGTTAAGAAGGTGTGAACGTGGGGGCCAGTGTGGGACAAGTTATTAGTTCTCAAAAAAGAGAGTTAATCTACTACTGTGAGTAGAAGGTGACTGCTGACGCTGTTAGCAAAGAGAGGCCAGTGCGGGATGGTGTTAACAAGGCGTGAAAACTCCGGGCATAAACCAATTCTCAGATCATCACGACAAACATGGGTTCATGAGTATGTGCTGAAATGACATTGCTTTTCTCACCTGATGCAATTTTTTTTATGTTCAGTAATCTTGGTGCGAGAGGTCTCTAAAATATTAGCTGATCTGTTTACAGAAGATCGGTAAAACATCCGAGTCACGATGCTGATGTGTTGTCAATGCATATTGCCCTTTGGTCATCCTTTTAAACATTATTTGCAAATAAGGCTAAACAGATCCTATGCACATACATTTTCAAGAGCGTAATGGTTTAGCACAGGGAGGAAAGAGCATTTCCATAAAGATTAGGCTCTATCAATATGAAAACTGAAAAGGCGACTTTACCTATCTCATTACCAGTTTCACATGACATATCAACAGTTCAACGTACGCATGCTGAAGAATATATCTTCAAAGCTTAATTGAGGACCAGTTGTAAAGGTAAACGTTGTAAACATCCGGGCAAAACAGAGTGACTCTTGTGTTTGATGGTGGCTTAAATGTTTTTCGATGTTCATATGTTTGAAAGGGTGTCGTGGTTGGAACCTCAACACATTCAACGCTGCAGGGCGATAACCAGCCAAGACACCGCGGGCTAGTGTCATTGCATTAAAATGTTCTGGTTGATTGATGTTAAAAGAGTTACGTATTCAGTGTTTAGGCCACTTTTTATTAAGCCTAATTACGTTTTTATTACCTTTTTAGTTTTGGGGTGAAATCCATTTGTAAGGTTTATACGGTCGCTCCTTTTATCGCATGCATAGTATTGGTTTCTCCATGGGGTACAGCCACCGAATACACATAGTGTGCGTCGGGGTCATATTTGCATCAGATGCAAATGGGAAGGTCGGGTAGGTAA